GAAACCCGCTCAGATTAGGGAATATGAACTACTCAGTGAAACAGAGACAAATAAGTTTTTTTCTTACCTGCCCATCTGTTTTCTCTGGTGGACAAACTCAGCACCTTAACTTCTCAGAGTACAGTCTGCCAATTGTCCATTTTTGTAGCTGTTCATATCATCCTTTTTGTGTTTCTGTGCTATGTTTGCACCTTGTTATAAAACATAGGTATTGGTCTTGTGCTTAAACCACTTGCATTTCAATCAGGTGCAATTAACCTTCCTTTTTGGAAAAGTTTTTTATTTCAATTTCTGTAATATTGCAGCTAAAAAGAAACCAGAAGGGTGAAAAGTTTCAAGTATGGTGCTGCAGAAGTCCTGCTATTTCACTAGTACTGATGACTATTCAGTGTGAACTGACAAACTTATCAAGGCAAAACCTAACTTATCCACCACAGAGAAAAGAGGGAAAAGAAAAAAGACCAAAAAAAAAAAAAAATCCTACTTAAGCTCACAACTGTAATGATCCTGAAAACTTTTGAGATTTAGGAAAGCCCATACCTGAGATTGAGCTATGGTTTGAGAAGTAGATTTTAAAAGTAGAAGAAAAGCCCGTGTTTCTTGATTCCTGAGGATTGTTTGTGAAATATGCTTAATTTAAATAAATAATATTTTGAAAAATTCCAGAGACCAGCTCTCCAAATTAATTCTGAGATTGGAGAGCCAAACTGCATTATCTCCTCCAGCAGTGTTACTGAAATTACTGAAAGTTCTCATTATAAACTGATGCCCTCCTATGGGATAAAAAGTTATAATTCAGTGAGACATGTAACATTTATAACAGCATATCACAAGGGGAAAAATCCAGGCATTAGCTGTCTTGGCTCTACCGGATTATTGGGGGGAGGCAGGAAATACATTTTTTTTTCAAACACAGAGTAAACAGTTGCATTCTCTAAAACTGGTAGAGAGCCAGATTACCATGTGTACTATCACTTTTGTTATTTTTTCATGCTACAGTTACAGTTCCCCAGTTTAAGTAATTTTGTTTGATCCATCTTGATAAATAAGGTTTTCTGCTGGGTTTTGTTACAGTTTGGAAGTAAGGGGGTTCTTTTCTTACTTCCATGTTTGCTTGGGGGTATTGAGAGTTGGGATTTGCTGCTGCAGCTATTGTTTCAGGATGTGGGTTGTTCTTTGGGATATTTTTCAGATGAAGCAGATCAAAATGGACAGCAACACATGCCAGCATGGAGCAGGAAGGGGACATCCTGAAACAAGAAGTCACAAAGTATGTAAAACAATGTGCTTCAGATTTGACTTTTCTAAATGCCCTTCATCACAGCAGGGCTGGATATTCTAGCTGGCAGCTCATCTTAAGATATCTTTGAAATTCAAGTGATGGACATGATGCTTAAATGTGGGCCAGCTGGGTACATCAGTGACTGACTGATCATAAAACCCAAAGCAAACATATCGCTCACCTTCAATACATTTTTATCAAGTGCCATCAAACAGAAAAAGTTATCTGTAGAATAGGAGTATAAATCCATAGTCTTCATCAAATTTCCATTTGTAGAATTTGCTGGACAGGGCCAAATAATTAGAGCAAGTTTTGTATTTTTTCATGGCACACTCATTTTTTTGGTTACAGATACACAGTAATTTATATCTGTATTTTTTAGCACTGCAGGTGATAGCCAGGAAAGTTCTGCAATGCTGAGTTATGAACAGTTTTCCAATTTTTCTTTGTCAAGAGTTAAGGAAATTTGTCATTTAAAGTATTCCATTCTATCAAAGATACAGGTAAATGATACATAATTGTGTACCAGAAATTGTGTGGAAAAAACCCAGATACCTAATGCAATTGATATATTTTGTAATAATGTATGGAATTACAGATGATTATAACTGTGTGATTAAGAAAAAAACAAACAAACAAAAAGTAATCACAAGCTGCAAAGATCAAAATACAAAACCACAATTTCAGGAACATCACAGATGTTCAGTGTACACACTGTTGTATACATTTTAAGGGAAAGAGCATGCCTGATCCCAACCAGCAAAAATACTCCCAATCCAAACAAAATGGCAGTTAAAAAGCGACAAAGAGAGTGAGAGAACACTCACAGGGGGAGGGGGGGGAAACACAATCATCATAATCACCAGAAGGGCAATGTACTGCTCTGCCTGCAGATAAATGCATATATAACATGACTATAGTTCAGAATATGAAGAAAGGAGAAACATTATGGCACAGTGCCTTTCTGCTGTTTGCCTTTCCATTGACATGCAGTTGTACTGTGAACCCCTTACAGTGTAGGCAGGAGGCGCTCCTGTTTCTTAAAATATTGTATGCAGCTCCTAACACAATGACTCTTCAAACCCACAGGCTCCAATACAAATCATAAACAATTTTCCTCTCTTGAACAGCCATTCTTTATACTCCCAGTTATAAACACTGTATAATCACTGGCTGGTCTTTGTTGCTAAAATATTTATTGCATCACTTTCATTCCTGTGCCCACCCAGGGTACTCAAGATTCATGATTTAGCATGTCCAGTTAGAGGACGGAGGTGAACTTAAAAGATACCCCACGGTCTCTCTTTTTGAAGGGAGTTCTAACCGATGCGCTGGTTACAGGCTTCAACTAAGGGAATTGTACAGCTCCATCCTGCTGCCTTGCTGATACTGCGGGTCCATGCTTTTTCCTGTGTTTCGCATCCTCAGGAAATGACAGGGTTCGAAGGAAAACCCAAGTCTTCTGGGGCTCCACCCTGCAAAGAGATTTTCTGTAGCCTGTGCCTACAGTGCACTCGAGCAATAGCCCCAGGGGAGGGGCTGACACCTGGAAGGGGAACACAGCAGAGCGGGGCGGAGCGGAGGGCTCGGGCAGCACAGCCGCGGGGGGAGGCTGCCCACCCTCTCCCGGAAAGCGGCGCCTCGCCGAGCGGCCCCGCCTGGGCGGGTGCATCTGGCAAGGGGGGTTCAGAGGTCTCGGTTGGTGTGGCGAGTACTGCGCGAAGCCTTCAGGGCTGGAGCGGTTTGGTTTGAGGTCGGATTTTTAAGGGAGTCGGTTGCAAATGACAGCTACCAAGCGTTTCCTTGCGCTGTCCAGCCGCGCTGCAGATCAGCGAGGTGGGGGGGGGGGGCCGACCCGCAGAGTCCCAGGGGTTGCCGCCTCCTGCTCCTCCCGTCGCCGCCGGGCCCAGGGACGAAGCGATCCCCGTCAGCACCGGCTCCGAGCAGCCGCTCCCGGGCGGGCCCTGCGCAGCCCTGCGCCGCCGAGGCTCTGGCCTTGAGACACAGCACCACCTAGGGGGGACGCGGGGCGGCGGAGCCGCGCCGGGCTCGCCTGGGCCGCGCTCTCGGCATCTCCCGGCCCGGCAGCGCGGCGGCCGCAGCCCCACCGGGGCCGTGCAGGGCCGTCGCCCGCGCCGCCTCCCCGGGGCCGCGCCGCCTCCCCGGGGCCGGGCCGCCCGGGCGCTGTCCGCGGTGCTGAGCGGGGCGCAGGGGCGGGCGGCGCCGCGCCGCCGCGGGCATCGGGGGGGCCGGGGCGGTTCTTGCAACCAGCGGGGCAGCTCGCCGGTCTGCGTGGTCTGGCTCCTTCCCCCAGCGGGCCTCCGCTCCTCCGAGGATGCACATATTTATGTTAAAACATGTCTGTTTACTCCAGACACGCGCGGTGCTGGAAGGCCGGGGCGGGGAAGGGATGCGCACACACCGTGTGCCTGCCGGGCACAGACCCAGCCGGGTCGCGCCTCGCAGTGGCTGGTGGCTTAGGAGTTCTTCGCGTGATCTTTGGTTGACTCTTTGCGCTGCAGTCCTGCCACGATTTCTTAAGAATGTCTGTTTAGGTTTATAAAGACAATTAGATACAGTTATATTATTATTATTATTATTATTTCTCACGCTCTGCACTGAGCAAACATTTTGCCCGATTGGTTGAAACCACCTTTAAAACGATTGCCGGGAATAGATGGTAAAAAAAGGTCATGTCAGCTAGGACTATTAATACCTTTAAAGCTATATTTAAAAGCTGGGGTTTGTGCTGTCGGTGTTTTCGTTACACGCCCAGTTCCTAGACAGTAGGTGTGCTCGGCAAAGCAATCGCCTTGGCTACTTAATGCTGTCGGTCTCCTCTCCAAAAAGGGCTTGTAAGTTTTTGCTCTTCCCTCGAGTCCTTCAGGAAGGACACGTCCCTGCCGCTCGTTGCGCTGCCCAGCACCCCCCGCACGGGATGAAAGTCTCTGGCTCCATCGGGCTGTTTCCCCTCCTCCTGTCTCGTCGCAGATTCTTCCCAGCCCCTTCCGTGCCATCTTTGTGAAAAGGGCTTGGTTTAGGCATCTGCGTAGCTACCGCCACATGCTGAAATGTAGCACCGCGTTCACCACCGCAAAATGTTGGCGAATCACGTTCGGGATGTGGGGTGTAGAAAAACAGATTTGGGCTTGTCGGGGATACCAAAAAAAAAAAAAAAAAAAAAGAAAAAAAAAAAAAAGATATGTTGTCTTAATGTTTCTCGTTTAGCAAGAGGATGTCTGGTACGAAATCGTAATCTAACGGCAACACTGAGGGCAAGTCACTGAAATCCAGGTGTTGCCCTGCGGCCGGGAAGACAAAAAGAGCGGCGGCGGCCGTGCCTCTGCCACCCTCTGGCGGGGAGCGGGGAGGGGGCACCGAGCCCCCGGCACAGCGAGGGGGCTGCTCTGGCCCAGCCACAGTTCGCGGGGTCCCCGCCTGCCCCCTTCGCGGCCAGCACCCCGCGCGTGGGAGCGGCGGGGCCGGTGGGAGCGGGAGCTCGGCCCCGCCGCCACCGGGCAGCGCGGTGCTCGGCCGCGGGTCAAGCCGGCGCTGTCTAGGGAAAGCTGGAGACTCGCCGAGGGAGTCTCAAGGCGGAAAGCGCTGCCGGGGGTGCCGCCCCCGCCGCCGCTGCGCAGCCCCACCCGCCGCCCCGGGGGCGAGGCAGAGCGGCGGCGGCACCGGGGCCGGGCGGGCCGCCCCTCCCCGCCCCAGCCCGCCGCCCCGGCGGTCCCCAGCCCCCGTGCGGAGCGGCGCGGAGGGGGTGGCGGCAGCCCTGTGACTCATGCCTGCGTCGAAGCAGATCAGCTGGCGATTCACGCTTTTAAAAAAGCAAATCCGAGCACTTCTGGAAAAAAAAAGGTCATCTCGCATTAAATTCCGCGGCGCGATTGGTATTCCGACGTCGTTTCTGGCGGAGTTTATAAGCGGCGGGTCGCTCCCAGGCTGGAGTCGCCCTGCCTGCCTGGACTCCGGCGGTAAGAGTGTCCGCTCGCCCCCTCGGTAAGTCTCCTCTAAACAGCATCCTATTTTGACAAACCTTTGGGAACCTCTTCCAGGATCTAGAGCTCTTTTTTTTTTTTTTTTTTTTCCCCCCGCTAAAATCGGTTTTGGTCGCTGTCGTACCTATAGAGAGATAACGGGCATTTTGAGACAGCCAGCGCCTTAGACATTGTGTTAACCTGTTACTTCACTTCCAGGCATTGTCTAGATAATCTCTTTTGCTTTACTGTTGTTTTCTTTTTCCCCTTGACAAAAAGTGAAATACCTGTTTTCCACTGAAATCGTTGATCCGTTGCGTTTACACGCGGGCGTAAATCCGCCCAGCAGTGGAAATGAATCGGTAGCTACCGTCTTGAAAAAAGCCGCTAACAAAGGAAGCGTTCGTTCGTTACCGCGACCTTCATTTTCCTTACAAAGGGAATAAAATAAATCCCAGGTAGCCGTGGGGACAAAGAGACGAGCGGGGCACTGACCCGGCAATTCTCGATCAGCGACCCCGTATTGGTTATCGGAGCGCCGTGTCGGCCAGGAATGAGCTGAACATCTGGCGAGGAGGAGGGCTGGTCCGGCACCTTCCTCCCCCAGCCAGACATGTCTTCTGCCATTTGTGCCACACAAGCGAGCGCGGGCACGGGAGAGCGCTGGTTAGTGCTGGAGCACGGACTGGTCCCCACTTGCCGAAACGCATGTGTGCACATACCCATGTGTGTGGCGCCTGTCATTGGACCTGGGCAGAACGCGCCTTTGTGGCGGCGGGGGTTTGTCTGTCAGTCCTTCCTGAATGCTTAGCCCGGCGCGTGTTTGGGGCTCGGCTGATAACGGCGCAGAAACGGGCTCTGGGCGGGATCGTAGGGCATTCGGGCTGGTGATTTCGAAGCCCGCTTTGCACGCTGCTTTCCATTTGACGCGAGCCACGTAATTGCCCTGCTCGGCGGCCGGCGATATAATTGCGATAGACTTCATGCTCTGCTAAATCCGCCATTCAGGCGCGGGGGGCAGCGCCTTGGCACCCAGCGAAGGGACGATTTTGCTCTCCAGCCTGTCGAGGCGTTTCCCCGGCGCGACCGTCTCCCGCCGCCGGGCCCCCCCGTCCTGCCGCCGCCCCGGGACCTGCGGGGCTCTCGCTGCCCTGCGGGCTGCCGCCCGCCGGGCGGAACTCCGGTGCGGTTCTCCGGGAGACCAGACTACTAAAACCACCTTTTCTTCCTTCCAGCAAATTCCTTGCTGCCCACCCCTGAGAAAAATACCGGAGGAAACCCGGGCTCCGGGGACTGGGGCTTTTCTGAAGGGATGGCTTCCTCCGCTCCCTCGTCCTCCAACGATGCTCCGGACCCCACCCCAACTAATTTACGACCCACAAGTAGGTTTTAATGTTTTCCTCGCTTACAGTGTTTTGGAGGCTTTTTCCAGCTAGGTTGGAAAGACCAATTTCGAAACGAAAGGATAAATCCGCGAAGCCCCGTTCCGCGCCGTTAAGCAAGGTGCGGAAAGTGCTCGACACAAAGAAACCATCTTCCTGGTGGGAGCGGGAGAGCTCGGTCCGTGGAGAACAAAACGCTGGGAGGAAAAGCCCACCTCAGCGGCCAGCTCTGCCTTTATCTTACAGCCACATTTGAGGGATTTAGACAATAAACTGAACCCCCAGATAGCCAAAAAACTGGGATGTTGTCAGGGGTGTGGAGAAAATTAATCAGTTAAAGGGCGAAGTTACACCAGTGGCTTAAAGCGGGTGTCCCCCCCTCCTTACATTTTATAAATGCTAATGCTGCAGTTTCCTTTCAGCCTACGCTGAAGCCTGTAATTAAGCGAAATTTGGATGCTAATTGTAGCTTTTCAAAGCCTTGTATTCCTAATTGCTCTGAATTCGCCTTGAGTTATTGAGGTGTGAGTGGGAAGCAAAGGCTGCTGCAGGTGGATAGAGAATCAGTTTATAGCCCTGCCAGGCAATTCAGACCATCGCCTACCGAAAATAAAAAAAAAAAAAAAAAAAAAAAAAAAAAAAGAGGCTCCATGCTATAAAGCATCAGAGACAAAGAGCGGGCAACAGTGAGAAATAAAGGTTGTCAGGCACGGCAAAGCGGGGAATATCTGTTACCCTGAAAGGGCTACGAGGCACGAGCATCGGAGTCATTATTGTCATTATTCAGCAGCTGGAAGGAACGGGGGAGGGGGCGAAGGGCAGCCCCGGCTCTTGGTGCGGGCGGGAGTGACAGGCGCTGCTGCCTTCGGCTGAGGGGTCGTACGCAGAAATCGAATTAACTGGCAACGCGGCTAAAAACGAGCCGGCCTCTAACAGCAGCACCCCGCCTGCCGGCGCGGGCCCCGTCCCTGCCGAGACGGCTCCTCCGCCCGCCCGCGCCCGGGCTCTTTCCCCCGCTTCCCCCTCGCCGGGGGCCCGGCCGCGGCCCGAGTCGCCCCGTCCCAGCCCCTCCGCCGCCTTCGCCCCTCTCGCCCTCCGGGAGGGGCTGGGCTGTGTCCTGGGCCGAGGCCGGCGCACCACCCGTCCCCCCCCTCAGCCCCGGGCTTCGTTCCCCGCAGCTTCGGGCCCCACCGGGGCGTGGCCGGGCCGCGGCTCCCGGGGCTGGGAAGGAGCCGGACCCCTCCGTCGGTGCGGGCGCGCTCCCGGCGCTGCCCCCGCTCGGGAGCCTCCCGGCGGCGTTTCCTCGGGCGCGCAGGGCTGGGGGGGGCAGGGACTGCCGGCCCTGGGGCCGCCTCAGAGTGTGGCCGGCCCGGCCCGGCCCGGCCGAGCCGCGGGGCACCGGGACGCTGCGGAGCGAGAGCCGCGCCGGGAGCGTCCCGAGAGTCGGCGGCTCCTCAGGTCCGGCCGAGGCTTAGTCATGCAAGTCCGATCATCTAGTCAAATACTGTTTTTCACCCAATTAATTCCTGAACTCTTTTGTGACCCCATTTCACGCCACTTTGTTTTAAGCTGCCACTTCCCTGGAGCCCCGCCAGTAAATTATTAGATGTTCAGGTCCCGGGTGCTTTCCCCTCTCCTCTCGGCGGGCCATGGCGTGTCACCCCGCTGCCGCCCGAGCCTCAGCTGCCCCGCACACGACACGCTCCGGCGCCGCCGGGCTCGGGAAGCCGCCGTTCCCCCCGGGGCGGAGGGGGGGGGGGGGGCTGGGGCGGGGGCCCGGCGGGCCCACCGCCCCAAGGGAACCACTCTGCCCTCTCTTCCAGCTTACGACGCGTGGTGCGGCGTGGCTCACGGGTGCACTAGGAAGATCGGTCTGAAGATATGCGGTAAGTCCGCCCGTGCCTCGCCGTACGCGCCTCCGCCGCGGCCCGGGGCCCTCCCGCGGCTGGTCGCCCCCGGGGCCGGGCGGCGGCCTGGGGCGCCCCCTGCCGGCCGCATGGCGGCCCCGGCGGTGGCGCCGGCGGTGGCCCCAGCCGCCGTGCCCGCCCGTGGACCGGCGCTGGCCGGGGCCTTGTCCGCCGCGGGCGGGCCGGCTGCGGGCCCCGCCGCCCCTCCTGCCCGAAACGGGGGTGCGCAGGCACCGGCCACCGCCGGCGGCGGGAGCGCAGGGCCCGGCGGCAAGGAACGAGCGGGGGGTTTGGCCACCTCTCGCTGTCGGAAATTTTTCAACCTTATCTGACTAGAAAATAGGGATCTCCTGGGGGAAAAAGATTAACGAGAGCCTTATTAAAGAGCAATTCGTCAGCTTGCTGTGCTGGTAAGATAGCGCTGGCAGCCAGTCAGCGCCAGGCACATGAAATGCAGGAAGGGAAATAAATGCACAATCAGATCACAACGTTATAGCAAGAGATTCATTTGCAGATAACAAGCTGTCTTCCTTCTCCAGATTTCTCAGTAGCGCCTTTGCTTTCAGAGACAAACAGCCAAATCTTAATTTTCTGATGGAGAGAATCGTTCAGCTTAGCCCGTGCCCCTTATGAATAGAAATCAGTTCCCATTTTCCCCAGCTACCTCTTTTGGGGGGATGGGAAGTTACTTCATAGGAGAAACAGGCCTTTTTTTCAAAGCAGAGATATTTAAACCTCTTGCCCTATTTGCTCGAGCTGAAACTCATTTGCTAAACGTTTTGTTACCTGGAAGTTTGGACTGGAAAAGAATCGGGGTGCGCATGTTTAACACTGTGTCTATTGAAGATTTCATTGGTACCCGCAGGCGACATTAACGAGTAATCGCTTACTTCTATAAATAGCTCCTGATCTGGGTTTAATGGACCATTTCCCTACCAGTCCCTTCAGTGGCTGGAGCGATGGGCTTTTTCATCATCATTTTAATTTAGTCCGGCAAGCAGAACTGATAAAGTAACGCACCGTTAGGCTTGTTTCGTGTTGCTAGACTACCGGGGTTACCGAGGGACAGCGCAGCTTCTCTCGATGAGATCAAGTACACTGAACATGAAATATCCCACCATTTTGGATTTAAGATGAGTAAAAGAGAGTGTAGTAAAGGCTTTGTGTCGGGAGTTCAAAACAAGCAGGGCTGCTGTATTTTTGGCTCGGGTTTGGTGCTCGTTTTTCCTTTTTCCTGTTTTATGCGAAAAATACACCCCAAATAGTGACGGTGATTCAGAATCATCAGATACGATCGCGACCACTGGTTTTGCTCGTATGAGCCCTCCCACTTGAATCTAACACCTTCACAGAGAGGGGAGGTTGCCATTGTAAGCATATAGAGTGAAGTGTTAAGGTTGCCAGGAATCCTAATTAAACATGCTGAACAAGTTGACGTTTGACTATTACAGATGATGTCCCCTTGCCCTTACCTTTCACGAGGCATCATACCGGACCCTAAATATTGTGCAGCCACAAAGCAATTGTAAACCAAGCGCCTCGCAATTGCTCTTTGTGTGTACCATACAGAAATCGATGTAATTCTCAATGCAAACTTTAAATAAGGGTTGAGCTCAGAGAAAAGGCAGGTCTTGAACAATGAGTCGTTTCTTCCACCTGTGTTGTATATTATGTGTTTGACATTTCCAGTAATTACGTATCCAAGATGTATGCCATTTCTCCTCAAACAACTGACCGATTTAAGGATTAAGCTCCTTCCCTTTCTGGTTGAAAGCCGCCGCCTGAAAGGAGCCCTGCCGCTGCCACCCCTCCGCGCTCTTCGCCTTTGCATATATCCACTTAAAAAAACCCGGAGAACATATTTTAAAGCGGTTGAATGAACTTACACGGTGGGCAAAGCATGGGCAGATCTTCCCGTGTCTGGTGTTGCATGCTACACCTTTCACTCCCACCTCGGCAATTATTATTGCTGCTGGGACCGATCCTGCTAACATTTGCTTGGCACCACTGGAAATACTCGACGTAGTAAAACTGCTCAGGTGCATCTTCAGCTGTTTGGCCCCGGCCAGCTGAGGACTCCCAGCCCAGCGAGCACCGCAGGAGAGGGGGATTTCAAAAGTGGTCACGTAAGCGAGAAACTCGGCTTGTCTCCGGCGTCCGTGGGATTTATGCTGCCAAGTCACGTAGGCGGTGCTGAAGTCCCCGGCCCTGGAGCTCCCGCAGCTGCCCTCGACCTGCATCGGCCGGGATCCGGCGGGCCCGGCCCCGCCTCGGGAGCGGCGGGACCGAGGGGGGGGGTCACACGCCTGCCTTGTGCTTTCCTGGGGGAAATCACACCCGATTCGTGGTCAAGCTGAGGACCGAGGGATTCCCTCGCCAGTCTGGTCTCACTCGGCTTTCCAAAACTCGAGGTCTCTTGAAGCGCAGCGAGGACGATCCCTGTCCGGGGAGCCCCTGCGGGAGGTGGCTACGCTCTCCCCCGCTGCAGGAGAAGCAGCGCGGACGCGATTTCATCCGCTGCTACTTGCTGGATCTCTCCTACCCCGACTTTACTTTTCACATCGGATACAGACGAAAGGTTTGCTACCGTCATGCGCTTGCCCCGGGCGTGGAAAGAGCCTTCGACGGCAGGCTGCCGCGGTTCCACGGGGCGGGCGTCGGCGCCGGGGAGCGGCCCCTACCTCGCCGGGGAAGGAGCTGGGGGAACGAGGGGGTCAGGCGGCCCCACAGCGCGAGGCTACCCCTGCCCCGCTGGGTTCCCCCGTGTACCGGCCCCTCCGGGTGCGTGGGATACTGCCGTGGCCGAGGGACCTGGGCGAACGACACGTCACCTACGGCCAGATGAGCTGATGCCGGGCGGCAGCAAGTTCCTCCCTTAAGACTCTTTTTTTTTTTTTTTTTTTTTGTATTTATAATCTCCGCCCTCGGGCCGACCCACGCGCGGCCGCGCAGCCCCGCGCTGGCAGGCCCCCGTGTGAAGCCGCTCCGAGTCCCAGCTGATCCCCCCCGCCTGAGCTCGCTGCCGCCGGCTTCGGTATAGAACAAGGGGTCTGGGGAGCCCCCGCGGGGAGGAGACGCGTGGGCATGGGGCGAGCTCCGTGCTGCTGCTGCCGCCCTGGCTCGGCTCCGGTTAGGCCAGACCCTTCCGCGAAGTCCCGGCCTCTCGGAGCCTGGTGCGGGCCGAACCGAAGGCCACCACGGGCCCCCTCGGGTAGGGAAGCGCTGCCCCCTCTTCCACCGCGGGTCGCGTGTCTGCACGCCGGGCGTGCGGCGGGAGCACGGCTCTCGGGGAGCTGCTTGTTCGCGCAGCCGGCTCTTCTCACGAAACTCTTCCCACTGAGCGTCGCCACCGAGAGCCTGGAGGAAAGACACGTGGAAAAATAAAGCAAAATGAAGCCACAGGACCTGGGGAGAGAGGATCGCTCCGGAATTTCAGTCTAGGCTGCACCTGCTTCGGTATCGGCTGCTCCACTTAATGAGCAGGCGAACAGCACTAGCTGTTGCAGATGCTGGTAATCGCTGCGAGGACCGTTAAGAGCAGTAACAGAACTAAAAGGGAAAAAAAAAAAAAAAAAAGTCATCGAGCCTGGACGGCTACTGTTTTACAGAAAGAGTTGCCCTAAAATAGTTCTTTTCTCTTATAACTCGTATGCCTAAAAGCATCACAGAAAAAAAAAAAAAAGTCATTAGTAGAAGATCAGTATTAAAAGACAAAACGTGTTCGCTGAAAGAATGGACTTGACGAACCTGCCTGCGAACAGCCCTCCTGTAAACTTGTTTGGGTGCAGAAGGGGCTGGCGGCCAGGGGCTCCATTTTCGGTAGCTCTTGGGGGTCTGGCAGAGGTGCCGTGCCCAGCGGCTCAGGAGCGCTCCCTTTTCTAAAGCTGCAGGAAGATGCAGTCCCCGGGCCCTGCCCACGCTGCGGGGGCCCGGTGGAATAGGCACCCACTCCTGGTTCGCCGGTGGGACCCCAGAGAGCGGGGACACATAGCCGGCAAGCGGAGGGCACCGGGGAGAAGAGGCGTCAGGGGACGTGGGGGAGCGAAGATACTGTGTTGGGTTTTCTCCCTGCAAAGTCCTCTCTGTCGGATATCCCCAGCCGCAACGAGCGTTGGTTTCAACAGTTACTTGTTTGAAAAAAAAAAAAAAGAAAGAAAAAAGGAGGTTGGCACTGCCGTACTGTCTCCTCCAAACATACAAGCACGCTCGCTGCGGCTTGGGAGGTCAAAATCCGATGCCTTCGTTGATAACGAAAATCCCAACACTGTGCGTGTTTTAGCGGGCATGGATTTAATGAATCAAATCCTGAAAATTAAGTGTTCTCCCTGCCTTGTTAAAGTAGACAGGTCTCGTTACTCGCCACGGGCTCTGCGTGGAGCCCACCGCTGGGATTCTTGGAGTGAGGGGACTGATTACTGCCGTTGCACATAACAGCAGTTGTGATCGGGTCCTGGGCGCCAGGGCTGCGTCCCCGGTGAGAGCGGACCTCCTGGAGCCCCTGGGGATGATGCTATCAAAGCATCTTTTCGGGTGGAAAGTCCGCATCTCCTGGACAGGTGCTGGTACGTACCGATCACAGAAAGGTGAGGTTGATGAGTGCTACCGGTGTCCCCAGAGCTCGCTGGACGGCTGCTCCAGAATGGCTGCTTGTCCTCATGCCTTTTGTGCGTGAGAGCACCACGAGGAGAAGTGAAAGTGGCCCTGATTTTAATCATACATCATTGCCCCTGTCTGCTAGGTCCATAAACTTTGCCTGCAGGCTGAAATAGCATTGACTCATCCTGAACTCTCTTCCAGTGGCTGATTACTGAAGTGGAATCTGTCTGATCGACTTAATAAGAATTTACCACTGCACTAAATGACAAAAATTTGTTTTTTGCATGGCTGCGTTTTTGCAGTTGATGGCATTTTGAGCTCTCCTCCTGGAGGCAAATAATCCCCATAAATACTGTTATTCCTGACCTCATTAGACAGATCCAGAGCCAACAACGCTTTGAACTGTTGTCTGGAGAGCTGCTTTAGATATTTCTAAACATGTTGGGAAGTGAGAAAACTCTGACCTGTGTACCTTGCAATAACAATGTAGGGTTCCTGCAAAGAACCAACAGCCTGGAAGACAAGGGCCGGATCGTTAGCTCCCTGAAGGAAAGGCAGTCCTCCAAGAGCCTGCTGGCGTGCGAGAGCAGCGGGAAGGGGTCCAGGTTCCGGCGCACCGAGACAGACTTCTCCAATTTGTATGCCAGAGGTAAACGCTCTTTACAGCTTCTGCTCGCTCCAGCTCGGGCACGTCCCTTGGTAGTCTGCCCTCGCTGCCCCTGGAACCTCAGCCATGCTCAGACCGTGCTTTTGCTTGGTTGTTTTTGAGGGAAGCTCTGTGTGTGTGCGTGTTTGCCGAAAGCCGCACTGGCGGTGTGTACCAGTTTCCTGAAATGCAATTTTACGTGCTTTGGGCTGATCCGCTGCAGCTCAGCTCCGGCGGTTCCTCCAGGGTCGCTCCACATCCAGCCTCCGAGAGGAGAGCAATTTTTTATTTTATTTCATCTTCAGTAAAATAGCAATGAAACGGTCTGGTGACTACTGCTACGGGGCCACTGACGAGGAGGGTGGAGAAGGGAAATCAGTCCCTTTGCAGGGAGGAGGGAAACGGAGGGAGGGGGGGGAGGGGGGGCAGGTGCGGATTTGGGGTGCTTTTGGCCCCCGGGAGGCGAGTGCCCCGCACAGCGTTAGCGTTGCAGGGTGTGCTTTGGCCGGGGGGACCTCAGAGGTGCCCCCGTTTTTCCCGTGGGCGACCTGGTCTCGCCCTTCCCCTCCGGGCCAGAGGGACCGGGAGCCCTGGGGGCTCGACTGGGGAGTGCTGCGGCCGGCCGGGGCTGGTTCACCTCCACCTCTCCCAAAGCAAGCGCTGACAGTTGTTTTGTCCCGCAGATTTGCTGCCCGCCAAGAATGGCGAGGAGCAGACCGTGCAGTTCCTGCTGGAGGTCGTGGATATCCTCCTCAACTATGTGAGGAAGACGTTTGACAGATCCACCAAAGTGCTGGACTTCCACCACCCCCACCAGCTCCTGGAGGGCATGGAGGGCTTCAACCTGGAGCTCTCGGACAACCCGGAGTCCCTGGAGCAGATCCTGGTGGACTGCCGGGACACGCTGAAATACGGAGTGAGGACAGGTAGGTTTTCACACACTACTCTGGAGAGTCCCTCCTGGGGCTTTTCTCTGGCCCACCGTGAGGGGGGCGGGCTTGAGCCCACGGAGGTAAACCCACAGCCTCTCCCCACCCTCGACTCTGCCTCCCTGGAGTCTCAGCTCCCGGGCTGTCTGTGGGCGCTGGAAATGTCTCTGCTTCGAAACAGAAGTTACCGATGCACCACCCGTCCCCAGCGGGCAGGGCTCGGTGCTGTTTGCAGAGCCCAGAAACAAGTTTTTAAGACGTAATCTCTTTCATTTGATGGAATGCGAGCTGTCTGTATCTCCGGGGAGCAATATCATTAGGTAAATGAGGGCATAAATGACACCGAATTTGCAGTTTTTCTTCTTTATGTTCTCTAGACGCTTAATGAAAAAGAGACTGAAATCCTAGGAATCATCAATAAAGGAACCCTGTGGATTTCAGCCCATTTCCCTGGAGCCCCGCCTGTCCAGGTCCTTCTGAATCACATAGAAATGCCCGTTTATAGTAACTTACTTTACCGGGCGATCTGCGGTCAGGCTCTAGAACAAAGCCTGTGCTCTTTTAGGCTGTTCAGCCCGAAATATTTTACATCTGTATCGGCAGAAAGCTCGGCTGGCAACAAGCCCCGAGTGCTGTACGTACCCAAGCAGGTCAGGAACTGGAGCGGTAACGGCGGGGGGGGGCCGCGTCTCCCCTCCCCAGACCCGCTCCGGCGTTTCAGGGCTGCTGAGCCCGGCTCGGCTCGCTGCCCTCTCGGGCTGGGCTCCCGCGGCGGGCGGGCTGCCAGGGCGGGCTCCTGCCGGGCCGTGGCCGGGCGGGCAGCGGCGAGCAACGGCTCCTGAAGGACCGGGTGCCGCTTTCTGCACTGCTCAGTTGTGAAGCTGCGAAAAGCTAAGGCACTGCATTCAAGGAACAAAACCTTGACAACAACCGTGGCGGTTAGCTTCCCGTCTTTTCCCATTTACATGGTGGTTTGATTTACTCAGGAGCGTGAGGGGCCCATTTAGACTTTGTGCCGTTAATCAGTGGAGCGTGTTTCACTCCCAAATCCGTGGGTGGTTAGGCAGGTAGCCGGCAGCAAAGCCAGAGTCGCAGCGGTCTGTGTGCTTGCACCGTTGTTCCGCTATCGATTGCGCAGGGACGTCGAGCAAGCTCTTCTTCCTCACCCGGGCCTCTCCTGGAGCTTTTGCGGGACCGTCAGGACCTGTCCCCGGGAGCTGAGATGCAGGTATCGGATCGGACACAAGCTCTGTTCAAAGCAGTACCTGGTGCAGCTCTAAAGAGCTGTTCGGAGCGTGTCCTGGACCCCGGGGACTCCCGTCTCTCCAGGCCAAGCTTCCTTTAAAGCCAGCCGGCCCGACTCCGCAGCCCCGCGTCAGGACACGCGACAGCTTTGGGAGGTCGGCGAGATGTCACTTCAGAGAACTTCCCCAACCGTGCGTCAGGGCAAGGGAAGGGGTTGCTGATTTGCGAAGCAACTAGCTAAGCCGTGGTGGTATTCGTAGGCGGTAGCCCTGGGCCGCCCGGCTCCCCGCGGCGGGAGCGGCCCGGCCGCTTCGCTTCCCGCCGGTTTCGGCGGCAGCCGCTGCTGCGGGGAGCGCCGGGCCGCGCCCGCGCCTCCCGCTGACACCGCTCGGAGCGGAATCGCATTTATTCCTTTATGTCAAAAGGTGCTGACGTGCTCAGTGTTGAGACAGATGCGACGTGACAGGGCCCCTCCGGGCATCGAGCGCTGAACCCCCGCCTCTCAGGCTGGGCCGCCCCCCGGGTGTTATCTGCGTGTCCTTTCCCGAGAGAGCGGAGATCAGGGCTGAATCGTGACACCTCCCCTCAAAGTCTGTCATCGTTTGTTCGGAATTTCATCTCTTCGTCCTAGAAAAGTAGGCCCCCCAGTAGTCGGGCTTGTTACGTATAAAAGTTGTTGAAGCAACTTTGGCTGAAATACAGGAATATGATTGACTTCGGTTTGGTAGCAAAGCCCTTGTTTATGAGGCGTTTTAAACCATGGGGGGAAAAGGCCTGTGCCGGGGAGCTCTGAGAGGGGGGTCTTGGCGCTCCGCTGCAGCGGGTCCGGCCGCGCCCCCTCCTCGCGCCCCTTCCTCCCTCCGCCCCCCCCCCCCCCCCCCCCCCCCCCGCGCACCCCTCCCTGGCTCCGGTAGCCTCGGCGCACGCCGATGAGCCCCCCCTCTCTTTCTCTATTCACATGCAAATGGACCCAGCACCTGGAGGCTGTTACTGCCAAGTACCGCCCCGCCCCCCCAAATTCACAGCGCGGAGCGGGGGGACTGTGGGGCTGGGCTAGCCTAGCCTGAGCGCTTGCACAGGTTCCGGAGGCGTTCGGGAGGCTGTCCGTTCTCAGGTTCTCTCTTTAAACGCTAACCATTCCATACACGAGCTCCCTCCAGAGCGGCTTTTCAGGTTTATAACAAGACACCCGTGACTGTTGGTTAACGGCCTCATCGTAAGCAGGACTTGCTTTGAAAACTTTGCGGCGGGTGTGTTACGAGTGCAAAACTACCGTTTGCCTCAGGATAGTTGGACGGTTTAAAACTGGAGCTTGAGATGGCGGTGGAGTTGTTCTAATTTACCCTCGCTTCTCTTTCCAGGGCACCCTCGCTTTTTCAACCAGCTGTCCACGGGCCTGGACATTATTGGCTTGGCTGGGGAGTGGCTGACATCAACTGCTAACACAAACATGTAAGCGGTGTCTTGTCATCAGCCTCTGCCACTGGTGCTTGCAGGGGCTGCCATCCATCATGGTGGAAGACATGCATTGTCACAGACGCGTATAATTTTCTTCTTTAAATGACGATTGCTGCGTCTTCAATAAAAGTGTCTCATTTTTCTTAATGCGGCAGTAATACAGTGAAAATAGTTATATAAAGCTGAACAGTTTTACATTTCTGATAAATAGAAATGCAAAGATCCCATGGTAAGTGAAACATGATGATTCTACCATAACATGAAATTATTTTTCTTCTCTTGGACCAATCTTCCTTATCTTTTCCCCAATTTCTTTTTGTAAGCTTGGCATCTAGACTGAGTAGTTCTGCGGCTATCCATATACTAACACTAGAATACAAAATATAAAAAAAGTTTATTGTCTTTTCTCCTCTTGATTTCAGAGGTAGCAGGCTTGTGGCACCACCTTCTCTTGTCCATGTGCTGGTAAAGAAGTGGCTTCTGGGTGGTTTCAAAATAATTAAAAATCTAACACTGTAAATTAATTTGATGATAATGAGGAAATTGCTCAGTTTAAGATTTGTTAAAATTGTGTGTAAATAAATGGAAGTATAAAAAGATTAAAAATATATAAATGTGTGTACTTATAAAGATATATATAAAATGTTATATCTAGAACATATCAAGGAGGAAACTTTTCCTAATTTTTATTGACGTCAAAATTAATGAAAGCTAGATGTAAATGTAAGGTATTATGTTGAATTTTTGAAACAAAGAGTGTAATTGATTAACAGAAACCACTCCCAAACCAAAAAGCCTATCAATTTTTTATTTATGTGTTGATTTGTATATGCTTAGAAATGTGATGGGAGTCCAAATAATTGTCAGGTAACAGACTGCTCTGTTTTAGTCCTATATTGGATGTGTTTTAACCCTGAAGCTACCTCTCTTTTGGGTAGTTTGTTGCTAATTGGCAGAACACAGAAATGTATCTGCAGACTGGAAAATGAACAATATTTTCACTGGCCTATCCATGAGTATATGGTTCATTAAGTATAGCTGTTTACTAGCACCTCTGTGTAGATTAGGAGCTGTGCTTGTTTTGTGACATTAGCAGTAAAGAAAAATACATAAGGTGCTTCAGCCAAACCAGTCTGTTCTTTGTAATAATCATCTTCTCAGTTAGTTCTCTGCTAAAAACTGCTATGAGACATTCAGATTTAAAAGCTGGTCGGGAACCAAACCTAGCAACATGTATTTTAATAGTAAAACAAGTATTGCAAAATGCTTTAAAATGTGCTATTTTTTATTTGTTTTTGACCCCACAATTAAAAGTGAAAATAAATCTGATTACATTTCTAAGAGAAAACTTTGCTTAAGTATTGTTCCTCTGTGGCAAAAACATATTCCAGAAAGTGTCACTTTTTGCAAGCCCTTTTCCCTTTGACTAATTTAGCTTAGTTATCCTTTTGTAATCAGTGAAATTGCACAAATCTGATAGGACATAATAGAATGAAGCTCTGTGGCAGACTGTGATAGTATTATGAAATATTGCCATCATTATTAAGAACATTGCACTCACTTCTGAAAGAGTAACTTTTTTTAAAATATGAGGTTGTTTTTCCTTTGATTAGTTTAAAAAGCAATTTGTTAAATAGCTAGTTCTGTAAAGCTAGTTTCTGATCCATTTATACTTTAAACAAGAACATACCTTGAAAATACTTCTCTGTGAGCAGGAAAATTGAGTATATATTTGGTTGTATGAGGTTTGCCAAATGCAAAATAATTCATCACTTTTTTTTCAGCAAACCAAGGTCAACATAGGTTTTCAAATAACAGAGTAATTGCAAGTGAGGTTAAAGCAAGATGTTTGTAAAATGTGATTCAAAGAATTGTCAGAGAAGGTTATTAAAGAGCCAAATCATCTCTGTGAGCTATTTGGAACATATTATTTGTTTTGAGCAGTGTTCCAGTACAGGAGAGCAGGTTCTGACCTCTACCTAGAAACTGTTCTAACCTATTTCAGCTACACAAGCAACAGTAACACTGCATTATGGCAGGGAATGTTTCCCGTTTGCTATTTTTTCTTTTCTACCTATAAACAATACTTAAAATATTTGCAGACAATTAAAAAAGATGTGTTTTCTTTCACAAATGAGTTTTGAGTAATCAAAACATCTGTACTCTCTTAAAATTTTAAATCGTCATTAGGAAATGTTACTTAAATGTCTATGTGAAGGTAATATATTAAATTAAACATAATAAGCTTCCCACATTGACTTGGAAATGTATTATTGTGCTATTCATAGTTCAGTCACTACTAATAGGACCTTCAGGGTGGAAATCTCAAAAGTTGCTGTTATTCATCCAGCTGTAGGGTCTGTATTATCTGTATAACAGATAGTATGTACAGATATGTAGGGTCTGTATAATCTGTATTGCAGGGTATTAGCTCACCCTGCAGCAGCTAGCTGAGGTTAGAAAGCAGTAATATTATCTGCAAGTTCTCTTTATGCCCATGCCCACTCTTAGCCAAGATAAGAGAATTATATTGGTATTTTCAGTATTATGCATTTATGCTTATGAAAATCTAACATAGAAAAATGATGTAAAAAGCTTTACATTTATTCTCAGAACGCTTTTTACATACTGACAAACAGGAGAACAGGTAGCTAGAATGATTTGGCCTGGTAAAATGATTTGGTCTTTAAGTGAGGGCAGAATTAAGCACACACTGGCCACTGCCAAAAAACTCATTCATTTATTGTTAGTATAGAGCTGAGACTCATGACTGCTTTAGTTAGTTCATAGAAATACCTGTAAAGGTTGTAACTGTATGAAAAAATCTAAAATTTTTGTGTCAGGACATTCATTCTAAAGTTTGACAGTTCCTTCCAAGCCAAACACATTTTCTGCACTCAACTGAATTTTTCAAAATCATTTAAGTTTAAAACAAGTATGAGTGAACTTTAGAGTATGTGATTTTTAAAATTATAGCCATCTTCTAATATAGCTTTATTGTCCTTATCATTTATAATCACCTGCAGTCTTGTCTTCTTAGCTTTGGAGACTCAGAAAATAATTACATAATAAAACAAATAAACACTATTTTACTTGGATTTAAATATATTAAAAATTCCCTTTGTGAACACTTGATATTTTATATACAAAAAACTTGCTTAACTTTATATGGTTTTTGTACAAGCCTTTAAGTCTTCTGGAAAGCATGTAGAGATTAGTGTGCAAGGTCTCAGGACAAAAATAAAAATGTGTTTAAACTGGTGTAAAAAAACCCACATTGACTTAAACGTATCTTGTATTAGACTACAGTGACCTATACACCGCCAAGTTCCTGTTGACTTCATCTGGTCATTCTTCCTAAATAAAGATTGGAATATATCCTACACTTGTAGTGCTTAAAAACAAAACAAACACAATGCCACTGTTAGCAGACACCAACTGATCTATTAATTTTGTCTCTGTAAATATTGGCAGTACCCAAACTTCAGATCAGTGTTCAACTGACTTGTCTCTGACAGTTCTAATGATAATAAAAGCAAAATAAGCCATATTTTGGCTTCTGAAAATAGCGATTACAACAATTAAACAAATTACAAATACTGTTTATTCTTAAAGGAATGTATTAAAAGTAGTGGTGGTGTTTCTCTGATGGACTAAGGACCCATAAGGACTGAAGCAAAAATTAACATTTTAACTAACCAGTATGGCTGTAAATAAAATACAAGCTTTTCAGACACACGTTCCCTCCTTTATATCACATGTCACCTTAAAGTTTGCCATACCTATTTTATATATAATATATATATAAACATATGTTTTGGCAAAATTATTCAAGTGGAAGACATCAGTCGGATCCAAAGTGTCAGGGTGTCGTGTTCTTATAGATTCCTTTGGAAATCACAGGTTGGCTGTTTAGTTTGTTTAGTTTCTCCCTGCTTCCTTTCCCCCCACTCCTTTTTTACCTTTTTTTTTTTTTTTTTGGCATACACAGCAAACAGTATTTGTCTACAGCAGTAGCAATTTATCCATGTATCTTATTCATCAAAAATGGTTGTATGGCTGTCATTTTCCATCCACATATCTGTTTGTGACATCAGGACATATCAGACTATTCAATGTTTTTTGCCCTCATTAAGTGGATACAATAGTTGACTGCTGACTTGTTTTTGGTAATTGGTAATTAGAAAATCATCATTTATAATTATTCTTGACAGTTATTGATCACATGGTATTGTAGAAATAAGTTGTCCTCGGAGATCGTCAACAGAATAAATCCACATAATTAATTGTATTTAGACTTTGAAGTCCTAGCTCAATACTTTGAATTATAGTTTCATTTAGCTCAGTGAAGTTTGCTGTTTTCATAAGGATTTGGCAGTATGTTATTCCACAGGTGTGGAATTAACACTTTGGGAAACAAATGTTCTACAGTACAATCTTGTACAGCAGGCAGCAGCACTATGATGGTGAGCATTAGGTTTTAAGTTGGTTACATAGAAAGTTGCAAAAGAGCTAATACTGCAGTTTTTATTTCCAGTATTGTCTTCCTGAGGATTTTTGTTTGGGTAAGGGTTGCAATATCAGAACCTCAGTTTATAGGAAAACTTTTAGGAATCTTAAGCATTTTCACAAAGAATCACAGACTGGGAATTTATTGCGTGTTTTTAGAATGTGTATTTGATTTTGTTTGTTTGGGTTTTTTGTTTTGTTTTGTTTTGTTTTTTTTTCTTTATCCATGCAGGTTTACCTATGAAATTGCACCTGTTTTTGTCCTCATGGAACAAATAACACTTCGAAAGATGAGAGAGATTATTGGATGGTCCAATAAAGATGGCGATGGAATATTCTCACCTGGTGAGCTTTTCCTCCCTGTTTTGGTGGTTTGACTAAAACTTGAAAAGTTAAAATAAACATAAGATGTGTCTGCCCACAATATCTTCAACACAATACAATGTGTCAGATCTTTAGAAGTAGGAATGCTTTGTTTAAACACCCCACAAAAAAAGTCGTGGGAAAAAAAAAATACTGATTATGGCTATGTATCATGGCTGGTCAACATTTTAAAACTTGACTACAAGCTCTGGTATATACTTATGCATTTAAACACCCTTTTTTTTGTGCTTAATTTCTGGGGGTGCCGAGCAGTCATAATTCCTCCTGAACGGTATCTCTTGAGAATCACAGACTGAATTCCTTGATGGTTAGTGAGGATTTGGGTTCACAGTCATAAAAAGACTGCCTGTCACTTTCTGGGACATATTATCTGGAACATAATCTGGCTGGATTCACAAGTACGATTCCAGTATGAAGACCAAGACAAAGTGTCTTCCCATAAATGTGGTTTAAAGGCAGTCAGCAGTGACAGAAAAAACTGGTAAACCATGTGAAGGTCCTGGACCCGTGTGTGGACATCGTGGGCACCAGGCAGAACTCCAGATTTCTGGGGTTTGCATGGGGGGACACCATCCTGTTTCAGAGGATGAAAGACAATTCCACCTCCTTTTGGAACAGCCCACATAAAATCAGAGAATGTGCACTTGCTTGGTGTCCAGTCCTATCTGCTAGAAAAATACAGATCTTCAGTGTTCTTGTTGATGAAGAAATATTAGAGGAAGAAGTTATCTTATACCTTATGGATGAGATTCATCTTACTAAATCTTGAGGACTGCATCATAGCACTGAACTAATTTTTCTGGGCTCTTTTTAGCACTAAACCAAGAGAAATATGTGCTCTCCTATTCATATTCCTCAAAAGTAAGTGTTAAAATACATTAGCTAAATCAAAGCCTGCGAAGTGCCTCTTTCCCTTAACTGATTATAAGGAAGCTTAGAATAACTAGCTCAGCTATAGAAATCTACTTTTAAGGCATCTACTTCTGTACCTACAGTGTGATGGGATAAATCTATCCAGTGTGCGACATTTCTTCAGTCTCGGACAATTTGAGAAGTTCCTGTTATTCTTGCTAACAAGAAGTTGTCATGCAAAAGCAGCACAATGAAAGCTGAACTTTTTAGGAGTGTGTTACAAAATGTTAGCAATTGAAAGAGATGATGGATAGGAAATTCTATCAGTACGACTTTCTAGAGTGTCTGTCCCTGTGCTGTTTAGACAGATGACCATGCATTTCAGAGATTTATTTTTTCACAGTTCACTGCTACTTTCACTGCATAATGCAAATGAGACTTGTATGTCTTTGGTCCAATATTCATTTTTTCTCATTATCATAATTTTATTATTCATTCATTTATTCATTCACAGGAGGAGCTATCTCCAACATGTACAGCATAATGGCTGCACGCTACAAGTATTTCCCTGAAGTCAAAACCAAAGGCATGGCTGCAGTCCCTAAACTGGTTCTCTTTACATCGGAGCATGTGAGCTTAATACACTGCTAATTCTTAATTTATTGATGTGTGTTGTGAAGATGCTTCGTCATTAAACAACCACTCTGCTAAATATGCATCTGTTTTGCTGCAGAGTCACTACTCAATAAAGAAGGCTGGAGCTGCACTTGGATTTGGAACAGACAATGTGATTTTGATAAAATGTAATGAAAGGTAGGATGGATGCTAAAGTTTTGAGATATTAAATGTGTTCATCTGTTAAACGGTTGTATTGTGCTTAAGGACTGGTTCAGTACAGCGTGTCAGGTTGCTAATTGCCTGTTGAGAAAATCTTAAATTATTTCAACTGTTGCCAGTATTTCCATATGCACTCTTTAATTTTCTTTGTCTTTCTGTTTCTAAAATAATTATAGAGGCAAAATAATACCAGCTGATTTGGAGGCAAAAATTTTGGAAGCAAAACAAAAGGTTTGTTTTTAAAAATTAGTGCTTAAATGCTTGGACTAGTAAAATTACCTCTTCTTTTGAAGGCTGAGGGTTAATATTAAAAGAGAACATTATAATTATATAAATGTCATAATAATATTTTCAGCTGCTTAATTATATGTTCCTGTATTGTTTAGGGAATTATCTATATGTCTTGCTAAGGTTTTCATTTGCTGTTTAAAAACAAAGTATTTTTAATGCTTGAAACACATCTGTATTATCTGTTTTTTAAAAATAACTTTCTGTTTGGAAATATATGGAAAAAAGTATGAAAACATGAAATTAAACCTACTTTTATCCAAACTTTAAAGTTTAGCCAAAACCATCCAAAAATTCTACGAGGCTGCAGTAGATGTAGCCAGTAAATTTAATTTTTTGAGGCATTAATTGTTATTTCTTGAATCAATGCAATGAAAAATTAATTTTGTATAAATCCACCAAAGTTAGAGCAATCAATATTATTATTTTTTTATTTCTTAGCTTCTTTACATTTAGGCACTCTATAAAAATTGTGGTCACATTTACTTAACCAAATGCAAAATTGTCTCACTTTGATCTGATAGTTCCATATTTATTGCTTTTGTTTTGGGTTGCTTTGTTCTGCTTTGTTCTGTTTATTAGTAGATAAAGACCAGAGGAACAATTTCAAGTCTTCAAATCACAATGTAAAAATCACATTTAATTAATTTTGCTTTATACTGCTGTAAAAGTCTCTACTTGACTATTGCTAATCTGCTAGAACATTTGAATGTCCTCACTGAAAGAGATTAGAAAAAAATAATATTCTTTACCTTCTGAAGGTAGGTAGTTATTTTTGTGAAGTTACAGTACAATAAAAACAGAGTTTGTTGCTACCACATATACAATTTGTTAGTTTCTACTGTTGCTTATATACACCTTTCACATGGGAAGAATAACATTTTTAGGCTGGAAAATGGGATAGCAGCATTTCTAAAATTATTTTCACATATATATTTTTTTCTGAAAGATTTTGGATTTGTATCTAATATTTTTATTTTTATTGTAGGGATACATTCCTCTTTTTGTAAATGCAACTGCAGGCACAACAGTATATGGAGCCTTTGATCCAATACAGGAGATTGCGGATATATGTGAAAAATACAACCTCTGGCTCCATGTAGATGTAAGTAACTAAATGAAGTGCTATTATTCAGGCAAAAGATTATTTTTGTTTACACATGTTTTATCCTGCATTAAAATATTTATTAATAGATCCTGGGTAAATTAAAATACGTTAGGCTTTTCCAAAACAGCAAGTATTCTCTTCTTTCTATCTCTTCTAGGCTGCCTGGGGAGGTGGACTCTTAATGTCTCGAAAACATCGTCATAAATTGAATGGAATAGAAAGGTACTACATGGTGCTTAATAATACGGTTATTAAAGTACTTACAGAAGGTACATGGCGCTTCAAAAATTCATGAAAAGATGAATTTGCTGCATTAAGGAGTTTAAATTAAACAAAAGCAAGACAGACAGGAAAGGTACACACTAGGAAGATTGAAACAGTACTAGAGAAGAAAATGATGTACAGCTGAGTGAAAGGTAATTTTTTGGCAGATAAGGAGGACAAGGAAGGGAGATTGTTTTATGCATAGCTTAGAAAGGATCGTAAGTCTGGGAGTGGGTAAAGGAGTGTTTGAGGAAAAAATGAAGTGTGAGAGCTAGACAATCTCTGAAGTGTAGGGCTTTGAGAAAAGCAGTGAAAAATGAGAAATCTAGAGAAGATGTTTGAGCATGAATAAGTGTGATGGGAACGCATGACATGGTGGGAATTTTTAGAGATTCTCTCCTGAAACATGTTTGCAGTTACTTCCAGAAGATAATGGATATGTGTTCTGTCTGAAGTGAGTGTTCTGTAAATGAAAGTTTATAAATATATATATGCATGCTTGCTTTTATATTGCTTATATATATATATGCACACATAAATATATAGGTGTATACAACAAGAGAGGAACACATGATAGACTGAATTAGAGTAACACTGAATTAGCAGCAATTTTTAGGGACAAATTTCAGTGCCTATAAGTCTGGAAAGGACTATGATAGCACAGAGCTGGTACAGTTCTACTGCCCCAGGCAGTAGACTGAGGGAACTTAGAGAGAGGCCAGGAAGAGTCATGGGTGCTCACCATGTCTCAGGGCACAGGGGCCTATGAGTTGGTGCTGTGTGCGATTACATGAAACAAGTAGGAAGCTCCTGTAGAGGCCAGAGTGAAGTCTGCAGAAAAGAGTGTGTGTGTGCCCCCGGGCACATAACCCAGGTTACCAAGATGCTCACTGAGACCAGAAGCCAGCCTTTATTAAGTAATTAATTGAACCAAATTTAGAAAGGCAAAGCATTTGTTTTGGAAGTGATAGCAGAGTGAAGGTGTGACCCTCTCCCCAGCCCTTACAATTCAGACTTGGGAGGACTCCCATGTCTTTGGCACAGTTGTTCCCAATTCAGCAATGACAGTGCTGTAGTCTGTAGAAGATGCTGTGTTTATAATCCCATGGATGTATTTGTCTGTGGATTTCCTCTGAAGGTGCTCTATCATGAGAAGCTGCCTGTTTGAATAAAACCAGAAAAACAATGAAGAAGCAGAAAGATATGATCTTTCCCATCATTGCAGATATTGGCTTCCAGGGAAGCAAAAAGGTTTGAAACAAGCTCTACCCATGTACTCTCAAATTAGCACCAAATGGCTTCCTTGAGTCAACCATGCTGAAGGTGGGCACTGTGTAAAGACATAAAATGAGAACAGTGAACAGTGCTCTTCTTTAGGGAAAACAAACTTTCCTAGTAGTTGGCATCTCATACAGTAAGTGAAGAACAAGTACAAGAAAGAATAGTGCACAGAAGGACTGGTAGGAAAACCACTGTCCACTGGACCCTTCTGTCAGAGGGACAGCAGCGTGTGGTGTGGCAGGAGTACTCTGAAGTAGCAGAGTCAAACCAACCTCTGCCGAGTCCAGTTTGCTGGCCACTCATGTTATGGTAACATATCTAATATGAGGTCAGCACTGTGAAGTAATTTCCTTAAGATGCACAGGTTTCGTCACAGTAGTTTGTCACACCTCTTTTGACCTGAGAGGTGCTAATTAACACCCTCAATTAATCAGCAAATACAGAAAGCAGCAGGCCATGAAATATGATATTATTTATTTTCTACTCAGCTGTACAGATCTTCAAACCTGGGATGGTGCCCACGTGTCCTGCGTAATTGCCTGTCACGGGCCCCAGCTGGGCCCTGTTGCTAGCCCTGGGGCCAGGCTCGGCATGCCCGGAGACACGGGCATGGAGCCGCCCTGCAGAGCTGGCCTTGCGGTGGTAGGGCAGCCTCCAGCTGGCTGGCTCTGCAGGGTAGAGAGTGACGTTTTTGTGTTAAAATAAACCTAATGCTCTTTGCGAAAACAACTTGAAATTGTCTTTGTCTGGAACCCTGAAAGTTAAATAGATGTGCTAAAATGAAACCATAGCGCGCTCAAAAGGAAAAGAGCTGTTATATAAAGTCCTGTGTCCTGACTACTCCATCTGAACTATTAGTGAAGTTTTTTAAAAACTAATTACTTCCTAAGTCTGAGCTACATACCTGCTGGTTTGCCCTGCCTAAGCAGGAGATTTTAGAGGGATAGTGAGTTCCCCAGGTTCAGCACAGACTGCGCTGTTCTTTTGGCTGAGGGGTGCTACGATCTAACCTACCGCACACAGAGGTTCGAATGATATCTGGAATTTTTATGGAATTAATGGTTCTGAGACTGGGGTGAAGGAGTCATTGAGTTGCTCAAAACAGGAACTGTGGTTGTGTCTGTGTCCTCTGAGAGCAGAGTATAGAAGAGGAGGAAATATCTTGGACTTTTCTTTCAACCGCATTGTAAGAACACATGCATAGTCTGTGAAATATGATTATACACTTTCCTTCGCTGGAACAGACAGTGAATCAAGGGGACATCTGGTAATTAATTACTTAGGGTAAAGAGGTCAATGGATGTGCAATGTTGGCACATTTAGCATCATCATTAAACTGTCTAGGATAGTATGTTCAAAATACAGAACATCTCCTCAGCTTGGCTAGTAAACTAGGTGATTTTGTGCGTCCACCTGTGTTTACACATAAAAAGTTTTAAGCTTTACCTACAGAATGGTGGGATTGTGACATAAAGTTTTATAGCCTTTTAACTGTCCATGGGCTTGACAAACTAGTACAGGAAAGGCCTGTTGTGGTTCTAATGCATGAGAAAAGAAGATAAGCATGAGGAATGTCTTTTCCTTTGCTTTCTACTTTTCAGCAGCTGTTCAGTGAAGAAGTGTATTCTCTCAGAATTCATATTATTCCCTTAATTTTCTGACACACCCCCTCCCCCCCAATCAGTACCTTGAATTGATATAACCTGTCAGACTGTTTTTGCTAGTTTTATTAGTGCTGTTTCTAGAATTTGAGTCTTCTGGGGATGAAGTTACTGTATCAGCTAATCAGAATAGTCTGACACTAATTAGCTGGTATTAGTAATCATCTAAACTCATCAGAAGTCTGACATTGCAATGAAAAATTAATTTCCTGGACAGTATAGCTGAGGAAGAAGACACCTGAGACAGTAATAATATCCATAGTAAAATAATCATGGTCCATACATTTCCAGCTGAAAGCAGAAAACAAAGCTGACTGCTTCAGGTTAATTTTCAGTTTTTCAGACCTCCCTGAATATGTAAATTTTTTTTTTGCAGAGCCAACTCAGTCACTTGGAATCCACACAAGATGATGGGAGTGTTGTTACAATGTTCTGCCATTCTTGTCCGGGAGAAGGTCTGCTTTGTATTTAATAATTAAAGAATTAAAAAAAAAAAAATTAAATATCAAGGCCTACTTTTTAAGAGGGTAGTGAAAAATCCATTTAATTTAAAAACTTCTTTTGAAAGGAATAACTGTGTGGATTTACATTGTGTTTAGGAAGTTGTTTTATCTTTTCTGTTTTATTTTGGTTTGGTTTTGTTTTTTTTTTTGTCAAAGCTGTACACAGTATGGGTCAGATATTTAGCTGTTGAATCTTTGCACATTCTAGTAACAACATTAGAGTCATGCTAATATACTTCATCTGAGCATCTGCTTCATTATTTCTATGATATATTGAATATTCATCCTTTGTCTTAATAATTGGTCACAGTCTAAACTGCTTAAATAAAAAGCCACACAGTGATTTAAAAGTTTCTCAGCTCTCTTGGAAAGAAAACATGCTGCTTTTGTTATGACTCCATATATATTTTTTAGGTCTTTCTTCTAGATTCTTTGTTGTCATCAATTAAAGCAAGACCAGTGTCCTAATTCTTTCAAGCAATATATATTTTCCTCAGGTTGTAAAAAAAGTATTATCATCTGTGGATAGGACTAGATGTTGTCTACTAATTTCTGGCACGTCAATTGCTACTAGAAGAGGTTAGTTGAAGAAGTGGTCCCTGTGCACAGAACAGGGATGAAGGACATGTGGGTTCCAGCCCTAGGTCTGCCATTGCTTTTCCAGGTGACCCTTCTCTAAACTGAAGACTGCAGCATTTATTTCCCTTTATAAAACACTTTGACATCTATTGGAGGGAAGCACTAGCCATTATTTAGTTGCACACATGCTTATTATACTATCTATCACAGTATTTTGGTAAAATTTTTTATTCTCTATATGAGAACTTTGATAGGTATTTTTGTACTTAACAGATACCCCAGTGTTTTCAAGCTTCTTCAGAGAACCACTAATAAAGTCCAAAGGAGATGCAAACCATTTTAGAAATGTCACATGTGTAAGACTTCTGTGTAACGTACAGGAATTTACTGCTCTGTGTTTCATTCAGAGATGTTTATCAGTAATCCATAGGTTTCTATTGGTCTGTGTGCCATATTTATTTGTAAGCAAAAAATGTCTGATTTTGGTCATTTGTACTTATATTTGTCATTAATGTTAAGTGTCCTAAAGCTGGACAATATATAGAGTTGAAGCCTTCAATTACTTTTTTTTTTCTCATTTTCTATAGCTATCTCCTGCACTTGTAGTGTGTAATTTACACATCAAAAATTTAAGTCTTAAGAACATAGCCTTACAAAGTGAAGTGGGCAAAGTTAGTATCAAAAACTAAGAATCCAAATTAATCTGAGAATGTTTTTTCAGGTGTGGGGGTGTGGGTGTATACAATCATATGACTACTGAGGGACTCCTAAAACAATGCCCTTAGGTTATGAAATTCTTTTTGTGGCTCAGGTTTACAAAACAAGGTCAATATTTTATAATTTGACCCATTAAAGAACAATTTTTCTGTATATATTCAAAATACATTTTTTATATATTACCAATGCATACAGTTTCATATGCACATATGCCATATAAATCATATAAGTACATGTTTGTCATTACAGGGTATACTTCAAGGCTGCAATCAAATGTGTGCAGGCTATCTCTTCCAGCAAGACAAACAGTATGATGTATCCTATGACACTGGAGATAAAGCAATACAGTGTGGTCGACATGTGGACATTTTCAAATTCTGGTTGATGTGGAAGGCAAAGGTAAATAATACAAGTTCAGCTCAAAAATTAGAAATGTATTTATTTAAATTATAACTCTTACATAACAGAACACTTTTTTTTTTTTTTAACATGTTGGTGTAATTACAATCTCTAAACACACATGTATCTGAGTATTAAGTCAGAAAAGAGCCATTTGAATTCTGGAACAATGGTAGCCATCAATAAACTCAGATGGGAATTAGAAGAAAGGTTTAAGTCACTAGAAGAGTCCTGCAGTAAAACCAGTGAGGGCAGGACACCAAAATGGTCTTTTGTTATGGTTCCATACACTTACACATTTATTTTATGGCAGATTACTTGTAGTAGCAGCAGAGTAGACTCAGTGACTTACAAGGGTCATTTAAGCATCATGTTTCAATGTATAGATTTTATAAGCAACTTTGAAAACAAAGCCTTTTTCTTAAGAAGCTTTGCCCAACTGATGATTTAACAGTTGATTCTCTGGTACTACTGTAGTATGCCTGGATGGCTGAATTTAAGCATGGGTTTACCTACAGGCTTACAGGTTCAAAAGATGAGGGTCCATGTAGTCAAGAAAACACATTTAATTTTTATTTCTTGTTACTTCCTTTTTGCTCTCCTGATGACAATATGGGAATTCACTTGGGTGACTTGTCCACAGTCTAATCTTTTTTTTATAAAACTTAGATTAAATCTAATAGCAAAATGGACAATCATAAGCTAGTTTTCACTATTGGTGAGAGTTAGACAGCAGTAGTAAATAACCTGTGATGATAAAATATGTTTTCATGCAGATTTCCTCAATATTGAAGACTGAGGGAAGAACGTAACAGAACTTTAGATATACAGTTACTTTTAAACAGATTATAGAGTTGTCATTGTTTATTTTAAAAAGTACTTCAGAAAAAAACTCACAATACTTCAACACAAAATATTTACAACAATTACTTTAGTAATCAGCATAGGTTTGATTACCAGGCTAGGTACATTTCAGTTCAGACTCAGTTCTTGTTCCAAAATAAATAATTTTGGTATTGTAATCCAGTAATGTAAAACTTCTTACAACACATTAGAATTGGACTGTGACTGGCAACTTTGAAGTGTGTTGTTTACGGTTCTAATTACCAAGTGCTTAATACAGACACCATCAAATCATGGAGTGAATGTTTTTCTAAATACCAGCTGAACACATTTTATTAAAACTAGCATGCTGATTCTACCTCTGCCATTATTGTCACCTGTTAAACTGACCTCACTAAAGAAGTGAGAAGAACACTTCACAATAAACAGTAAAAAAAATACAATGGAAACCATAATGAATGTGGGTCATTTAAAATTCAGAAGTAGGGTATTTGTGGATATGATTCTTTAAAAATCATATAGATTAAAATTGCTAAATTGATCTATATATCTGGAATTTATATTTCTCCAGAAATTAGTTACTTCGTATTTGTTTGGTCTTGAGACAGATTCAGATTTCTTGGATCTGAGTTCTCTGAGGTATTCAATAGAATCTGTTTCTAGCAGATTACATGATCATATTACAAAAATGTTAAGAAAACAAAATATTAAGCGCTATGGAAGTTTTTCCTTTAGCATTAGCCACCATGACTGATCATAATCTTGTCCTTATAGTAGAAATATAGAGCCTAGATCCAGAAGTATTCTTGTGACTATATCTTCAGTCATTTTATTCAGTAAAAAGAACTTACCCCAAATATGCAATAGTTTAAGTATACTTGTCTTTCTTACTTTTTCATGCATGTAGAAAGTGTACTTTTAAAAAAAAACACTTTTTTTTTTTCTTATTTATTATCCACATTCATCTACTTTTTCTGGGGATTATGATCTTTCAAAACAAATCAGATCTGACAAAAGATCAGTGGGTAGGAAAATGACTTTTATCAAACATATTGCAGGCTTTTTTGCTTGTTGACTTATTTAAAATGCAGATTTATAGCAAACTGTTCAGAGAAAATAAATTACTTATCATCTCTTACCCTTTCAACTGAGTTCCCATTCCATGTTCCTAGGTCTCTCAGTAAGAGCTGGGAAGCCAAGACTTAATAATATTTTTGGAAACTGAAAAAAAAAAAAAAAAAAAAGAGCTAATCTATTAAAAATACAAAAGCCCTTATTAGTATCATAAAAATTCTCTTAAAATGAGACCAAAACCAAATGGTGATTACAGTTAGGCCACTTTTAGCCACTTCTGTAGTGCTGATTACTTTTAAATTAAAATAAATAATACTGCTAAATGCTTTCTGACTGAAAACATTTAAGAGTGAAGCCTATGTGAAAAGGTGATTGCATCTCAGGAGGAAAAATGACCATATAGTTAATACTTACTTTCTTTTTAAAACAGGGTACAGTAGGATTTGAAAATCAGATCAACAAGTGCCTGGAGCTGGCAGAATATCTCTACACTAAAATCAAAAACAGAGAAGGATTTGAGATGGTTTTTGAAGGGGAGGTAAGTTTTCTTTCATTTAGCCTGTGTGTAGGAGTCAAATCTTAATGGAATTTCAAAACCAGTCTTCACACTTCTCTCAGTTCTTCAAGCCAGATAAGCAAAAGTGGTTTTATTTTCTAAAGAACTACATGACTATTGGCATCTGGGCAGTTTTTTGGCCAAATGCACATGATTTTGTACTATAAACGTCTGATTTATCTCTTCTTCTCTCCTGCAGAGGACTTCTCATTTTAGGGCATGAAGACTACCTTAATACAATCTATTCATGTTGAGATTCCACATGATAACATAATCTGCTGTTTTTACTGTATGTTTTGTTGCTAGTGCCACTGTGTAAGCCCTTGGTTGATAGAAAAACAAGTACACTTTGTCTCTCCATTTACTAAGAAAAGGAAAATTGGGTTGCCCTCGCTGCAATCTGGGAAAACAGTTCTTCATAAAACTGAATGAGGGTGAAAACCATTTACAGTTCATTAGCACCCTAAAACATTGTAAATGGGACAATGTATGGGAATCTAAGACAGCAGGTGCAGCCAGTACTACTCTAATCCATTTATTTTGTTTTAAAATGCAGAACTAGGAAAGTTAATACTATATTTTGTCTTCCAAGTCTGTGCTAAAATATACTACTGACTAGCCTTTAGTGTGTGATTGATATCTATGAATTTGTTTACTGATGTATGTGTTTGGTTCTTTTTGCAGCCAGAGCATACAAATGTATGTTTTTGGTATATTCCGCCAAGTCTCAGAGGCATGCCAGACTGTGATGAGAGAAGAGAAAAGTTAAACAGGGTATGTGGTTTTTGTTAAATGCAAAAATATAGTCTACTCTTTCAACCAAAAGTATTCTGTTTATTAAGAATAATATATCTGTCTGTGGACACATGTTCCAAATTCTGGGATGCCAGTTCTCCAGTTGCTTGTTATAACCATGGTACATGTTCACCTTTGTCTCCTATTTATACTGAGGCTGAAGTCATGTTTGCCCTATAGAACCAGATGCAGAACATGCTCAGTTGTTCTTTGTTTTGCATCACTTCTGTGCTCTCAAAAGTGTTATGAATCTTTGAAAAGTAGCTAGGCTCAAATACATTCCTGTCCTGTTTGGATAGGCCAGCATATCAGCAAGAGAAACAGAAGGGTAATTATTTGAAAATGCTGGGACAGGTAAAGGACATGGAAGCCTGTAAGTCCTTCTCAGGTCTTTATTTTTATTTTAGATGTGCTTGGTTAGTCATACATTAATGCACTTCACTGAAAATTAATACCCTGTGGAGGACTTTGGGATAAATTTATTTGAAGAAATGATAGAGGGAAGTGAAGGCATTGTAGAGGTACCACCAGGAAAAGTATCATGTTACTTAGGACTTGAGGGAAGTGTGAAATACATTAATTTTGCAGTAGCATTTTAGACAGAAGTGGAATGAAATACATTCAGGAGACGAAAGAATGATTTTATAGTTGTCAAAATTAATTATAGTTTTTTTATGTTTGGGAAACGAGAAGAATGGGCAAACTTGGGAAGTTTTTTAGAGGATTTTATGTCTGCATCACACTGGGGAAAGAGAACAGAAGAGAATAGAAATTCATGGGTCAACCCAGTGACATGTTAGATAAAGAAATTGCCAGAAAAGAGAGAAAAGAGGAAAATAGATAAGACTGGTAAGAAGGATGAAATGTTTGACTTGACCCTGTTAAATGCTAGAGGACATTATAAAGCATCCTACAAAACAGTAAAAGAGCCAGACGTCTGACCATGGCTGGCAGAGAATAGAGCAGGAGAAAGAAGGTCTGGATGGAGAAAGTGGGCTCAGTCAATACCAAATATTGAGATTGTCAGAACCTTGTAAAGTGAGGAAGTGAGATTGCAGTAAATGCACAGTACTGCAAAACTACTGGAAGGTTTCCATTGTTTATGCTAACAGAAAGTATGACATACATAGATCTTGTTGAAAAATTTCCATTGTTGTTCACACCTTCCACCCCCTACCCCCCAAAAATGACTTTAAGAATACATAATATTCTCATGGAAAACATCCAAACATCTGTTACCCTCAAAAAGGTGATTTTGGAGTAGGTTTTCATAATAAGACAGAAAACATTTCTTCATGACAAAATCTTTAGCACAAAGAATGACATGTACATATAATATATAATATTATTACATAGTGAATACACTGGGATTCTATTAGTCCATTAGTCAAAATGATGGATGTTGTTGTCAGTTTTCCTTTAAATATCCAATCCTACATATTTAGTTTTTCAAGCTTTTTCTGTTACAAATATTTTTATAAAAAATAAATAGTGCCTTCCTGATCTGTCCATTTATTTTTTCCGAATTAAGAAATGTTGTGACAAACAAAGAAAGGATAAAATTTTTTAATTACTCTTCTTTCCCTCTCTTTTCTTTTTTTTTTCATTTTTTTTTTAAATGATAAAGGTGGCACCGAAAATCAAAGCACTGATGATGGAGTCAGGTACTACCATGGTTGGATATCAGCCTCAAGGTGATAAAGTCAACTTCTTCCGAATGGTCATCTCAAACCCAGCAGCAACTAAGTCTGACATTGATTTCCTCATTGAGGAAATAGAGAGACTGGGGCAGGAACTGTAGTACAGGGGTTGAATTATTTATTTCTCTAATTCACTGTTTTCCAGCACTGGCTATTTTTTTAACCCAGTTCTGCAGAACATGTTTTAAGGGAATTCTCTTTCTGTAAGTTCTAATCTCCTAAGATATCCTTAAACAACACAACTATAGGCTACTGAAACATATATGTATTGGTAGATCATATTACTGGGGGAAAATATATTATCTTGAAGTTGAAGTACTATTGACTCTTACATTGGTCTTATTGTAGTCAGCAGGAAATGAATAAGTACTAAAATAGCAAATTAAGAACTCTGCACAGTATATATGTACAGTATAAATAAATATAAATATATATATATACATACATATATATATATATATATATATATAAAGTGGTTATAAACTTAGATCTAAGCCACAGCATGTTTTCCACTTTAAGACAATTAACTTTTCCTTCAACAACTAATGATGTGGATAATGTGCTACAAATTTTTCTGCCAGGTGAAAATAGACATGTAATGTAGATTCTTAGGAGCTAAAGAAAATGTGTAACAGTATTAAATCTTATTGTTGGTGCTTTCCTCATGTACAATACAGCAATCTCTAACAGCACCTTCAAGTAAAATAGTTGTATTTTCCCTTTAGTGTCACATCAGGGGATAATAGTAGCAGAGTCATTGTAACAGGTATATTATTGCTGTATTTTTAGAGGTTAATTTGTGTAGATTGTGTATATTATTGTTAAATGACTTTGTGTAAAAGGATTTAAATGTAATAGTTTTACAGCAAGATAACTGTTGAATTGTAGGTATATGAAATATTTGCTTATTTATATGCAGAGATTTACCATGCTGAAGAGTTGTCTTGTATTTTCTTCCATTTGTAATGTATCCTATTTATATATTATTGAAGTTCTAAATAATGTTTATGGTATTTTAGTGTCTTTGTGAGCCAAAGAAAAAATACAAAAATATTAGTTGACACTTTCATTTAAATTCTAGTGCCCTTAAAATAATAACTTACAGATAGTTTTACTGAATATAAGGAATTCTAACGTTGTGTCTAAACTGTCAAATGATGAGATCCCTTTAATCTATGAGAATTTTCAGTTTTATTTATTGTAATGTCAGACTGTCTGTTCAGTGTTCTGAATGCTTTTCTAGTGAATATTGATTGCTAACCAAGGCCCCTGTTTTTAAGTTGTATTTCAGGACTACTCTCTATGACAATTTTAACTAAATTCTGTGGGTGTTTCAACCAACATAATTCTTTCAGTGAAATGGAATTCACTATGTGTTTGGAGTTTATAAAATAAATAAAAACAAAAATAATCTCAGAATCTTTAAATACAGCTGGCTTGTCACAACAATTTAAACTGGCTAGAGTTTTCAAAGTATAGACACCAGAGTCATCCGCAGCTTGTTCAGTTTTAATCATTAGATAATCAGTACTACTAAGTGGAAAACTCCATACTGGAAGCAGAGCAGTGGAACAAAATGAAGATTCAATAATCCTCTGTATGCTGAGTTACTGTCATGGTGATAAATAGAATATGCTAATTTAAAATCTTTTCATACATGACTCTCTGGCTATCTTCTATGCAAGTCAGTAATTAATTGATTCTTTGTTCTTCCCTGCCCCCTTCCCCCCCTCCCACAATCAGTAAGAAAATTAAATTATTTTAGAAACATTCAATGAAATGCAGTCATGCTGTGCAGTTTTTGCATTCTCTCTGGCCCCCTTCAGTCCTGTAGAACAGCTACAGCCATGAGAGATTTCCATCCTGCAGGTCCTGCTGGTTGTCTTCTGAGGATGCTGTCCTCACATCTTTGGCTGGGTCAGAGCAGGGAGAAGAAAGAAGCTGTCATGGTAAATGCCGTATCATATAGCACAGCCTTTCCAGCCTCTCTTAGGACTGTGGCTTATCTTTCTTCCATGACCTTCTGTAAAACTTTTTCTTGTAATTACTTGGGTTGAATTTAAAAATTATGTTAAATATGTCGCTGTCTTTTAGATTTATGAGAATGACTTACAAAATATTACCTACATCATTACTTTTACGACATGAACCCCCCCAGTAATGTCACCAGTACAGAATTTCTTTCATTAGGCTATTTTCCTCCAGACAATGTGGTTGGTTTCTTGCCTTCTCGATCTTAAACCTCAATCTTCCTTAATTATAACCCTGATATCTTACCATGTCTTCAGTACTTAACATTTTGATGTAAACATCCATGCTGTATGACCTGAGGCCTGCAATACAGAAGTAATCAGTGTGAACATTTACTTCAGTACCAACTTCCATAATATTAAATGCCATGCTTTATAGACACCAGCTATTCATCAAAACTAGAGAGCCTCTCATTGAGAGCTGTTTTTAGAGTACAGAAAGAAGTTTGTTTTGAAGATGTCACATTTCAATTTACATACTTCTGCCTGAAATGTGGGCTCTATCACAGTTTTATTTTACTCAAAGGGCAGCTACAGAAGATGGAAAGATTTCCCTCAGTCCTTGTTTATGAGAAACAGTATGAACTAGTATAATCAATACAATGATGTATAATTGCTGACCTAGCTTCACTAGGGGATTTTACAGTTTCCACGCAAGCAGCACCATGGTCCTTGTGATTTCTTAACCGGTTCTCAGGTGGGGATTTCTGACTTCACCCACCTCCCTAGTCAAGATATTTCAGCAACAGTATTATTAAAGATTCCAATGTACCCTTAATTCTCTAATCTTAATATTTGAACCTCATGGACCTTGTATCCAGATCATCATCTCAATATTCTAATAATAATCTATTGTGTTTGTAATGTTATATCTCTTTGAAGCATATAAACTAGGTAAAGAGAATCATCCTCTTGTAAGTGATCATGAAACTATAGGAAAGACCATTATATAGCTTACTGGCATTCATACATCAAGACTTGGGCAGTCCTGTAATGTAGTCAGAAATAAATTTAGACTTCTTTGGCGTATATACAATGTTTTGCTCACTAAAACTTCTGCTGCTTCATTTAATAGAGTATCTTTCATTTTGGAGGTCAAAAGCATCAGAGGTTATACCTATTGCCATTGATGGTTTGCAGCTAGGTGAGAATAATGGAGCTCCTCCTGCCTGTTCTGTAAGTGAGACAACTAACACAGAGGCATTTTCTCTAAAGATCAGGGGTTTAAATTTATCCTCCTACCCTCTGCATTTTATCTTGTCTTTCTATAATGTTTTGTCTTGACACAGATAATACCCACTATTAGATTTTTGCAAAACTTATAATTTTAACATCGAACTCTGGAGTGTTTCCTTAATATATATCTGCTTTCACAGGCTCAGGGCTCATTAATTTCCAACTTGGTTAGCTGATTTAACAGAGCAGTTGTGGTCATCAGTGAGAAAACTCATCTGTGTTTTCTTCTCAGTAGGTAATTTTCATCTGAGTAATATGTTACAGCTTCTCAGACAAAAGCTTATCTGGAATTTTCCTGCTTTTTAATCCATACACTACTGACTGTGAGAGATCACAAGTATGGATATATAGAAGTGTTGACTAATTCATAGCATTTCAATTCCAGGTGAGTAACTTTGTTTTTCTGAGGTTTAAAATATACTCTAAGGTAGCAATTTTACCTTTAGAATCACAAAGACAATCACTGTAATTTTGTGTCAGTGAATTCAGATCAAATACACAATAGGCACAATCTTAGTTGAACATGTAGCTGCAGTCCTTATTAACTGATGTAATTTATTTGGAAAAGACTCACCATTGGATAAAAATCGACAACAGCTGTTGTTGTTTGAATGAGAAAAATTCTGACTGTATTATTAAAGGTACCTTTTAGAGAAGATAGTTAGATTATACCATTCATGGCAGACGGATGGAACCAGGGGCCTTGGGAGTAACCCAGGATTTTAAAATTATCATTGACTTAGTTCATAATCTGTTTTTTGAATGGTGACAAATACGAGGAGATTTTTTAAACAGAATCTCTGTTTTGTGGTTTAAGAAATGTCGAAGTTATAAAGAAATGTTCAATGCAGTTTTAATTTTTCAATAAAAGTCGATCTTTAAACCATCTAATTGTCTCATATAATTTTTGTGAGCTCTTTTGTTTCCTTAAGAATATGAGACAAAAGCCATACAACAAACAGTAAGGCAAATTCTAGGGATACTATTTAGTTCTAATTGTGAATTGAATGTGAGCTTGTACCAACACAGACTGAGGAAGAACCTCAAGCTCTGGACCTTGATCAGTTTGAGTAGGGTTGTCAAAGACATTAGTACTGTGTAGAAATGCTAAAAAATAGAGCTTCTAAAAATATTTTTGTGTGGTATTTTGTGTGGTGTCTGAATTCTCATCCAACTTATACAGAGGACCCAAGAAAGTAAACAAGAACTTTGGAATAGGTAAAAAGAATAAGATCAAGGCCTTGTAGTAAAAGCCCTGCTATTTAATTTGTGGATATATTTATAAAACTTATTTCTTCTAATGCAGGTCTTACTCCCAGGGAGACTTGTATACATGATTAACTTTGCACACTTTGCAATGCCACTGGTTGATCTCAGTGTTTGTTTATTAAGCACATTTAAAACTGCACAGAATCAGAACTAGGATATTTTTGTGCAATCAAAAATCTACTTGACTGAAAAAGTACTTTTCTGTATGTAAAAAAAATGCAGGACAGGACAAAGCCTAAAGGTGTTTTGAATAGTGTTAATTTTCAGCACTTCTGTGCTTGTCTGACAAGAACTGATACATGGATGGCAAGAGGAGCCCTCATGGTCATACGACAACACACTGTGGAATCAGTACTACAGGATACTGAGTGCTTGACTGCAAAAGCATTTAACGTTTGCATAGCAGAAAACCTGTGAGTATTCTTGTCAGAGTCAGAACTGGGTTTCTTTGTTAAGCCACTTTTGTATAAAGCATTATAATGAACAGTCTTTTACAGTAAAATGTTTACTTGAAACACAAATAAATGAGATATTGGCAGATTTATTTTGTGAGTAAAGTAAATATATTTTGTAATAATAATTTTGTAAAGGTGTACAAGGGAAGTGTAATCTTGCCACCACAGAAGTTGACAGGAGAACTGCTGCTGATTGCATGAATCAATCTTTCCCATTCTTGGAAATGAAAGACCATTTCCTAATAAAACTACAGAATGAGACCCTAAGTCTAAGGTAGGAAAGAATACTGAAATTCATATATTCTCTAAGAAAAGGCTATGCATAATGCATCAACATCAAACAAGTTAAATGTATTTCATATAGAATCACAGATATTTTAAAATACACCAGAAACTGAGTGTGAGCATAAAATAGCTGATATGTAAAATTTATAAGAATGCCATAACTTCAGGGAAATGTTTTTTTTTCGTAATTGGACTTAAGTGAACCATAATAATTACAAAATAAAAGTCTTTTCCTGTATAAATATAGTATGAATTAAAGCTTTTGTGGCAAAGCTTTTGGCACATGATATGTCTTTATCTATGCATGGTATATGCTTGATATATATAATTTATAATATGAAAAAGGTGATTAAAAATTTGGATTCTAAACCATATTTTGGGGTAACCTGCCATTCCATTATGGGAGTTTAAATAATTTTATTTTTTTTGTGTGTACCAAGTATATTGAAATATAAGAGTACATTCTGAATTTATACAAGTATAAAATGATTTTTTCATGATATAGACAAATTCTAATTAATTACCTCTTTATGCATTAGCCATAGAATTGTCATTGATTTTAACAGCATGTAACAAATTTGATTTTGATTGCTTTAGGGTAGGATAAGCATCCTTCTAGTAGGATGGGTTTTCCTAAGAACAATTTTCTTTCCAAGATAAAGAATTTTATGCAGCAAACTAGGCATGAGGAAAATACATGCTGCAAAGAAACTTATTAAGTTCATTAGTGTAGCATGCAAATGCCATAATGTAAAGCACTAAAAATTATGGAAAGTGATTTTATCATGTGTGAATACTAAGGAGTGTCCATCTTACATACAGACTGTTTAATAAGATGTTAGGACCACAATGAGACTGTTTGTAGCTAAGTACAGCTCACTGTGGTCAACAGAATTACATCTGTCTGAATTTCTTCTTTAGTGTTCTATAATTTGCAAATTTTGACAGTTATGCTTAGGGTGATGATACATGAACCGGGAGTACCTACTTACTCAAGAACTGCGACTCAGCTAGTGAAGAGGAAATGTGAAGACGCAAGCATTGGCTGAAGGCAAAGGTTAAAAGGAAGGATGGTTCCACAACATGGAGGGATCTGGGTTTCATTAGAGCGTTTGGTAGAATCAGACTTCTGGACAAAGTAGAATTAAAATTATGTTTAGAATAAAATATGAGATGCAAGCAGGAGTTTTTAAATAGACCTGGTAAAGAAAGAAAAAAATTCTGCTTCTCTGTTTTAATAGATCTATCTATTGAGGAAAAGTGGAGCCTTGTTTAGTAATTATGATAACATAAATATTTGAAGATAAAACATGACACACCTTGATTTATTTCTGCTATTTATTGGGTAATCTGTTCAGCATCAGAATATAATTATTTCAGACTGTATAAGTATACTTTATATGTGTATTTGTGAGTGTGTTTATATTTCTTGATATAAACCACAAGGACATATGCATGTACATACTCTGTGTGAATCAGAAAAGAACAAAATTTTGCATAATGTTGTCTGGTTTGTGTAGGATTTTTCAGGACATTTGCAAAGATTCTTGAAGTATGGCATTAAACAAGCATATCATGAAGGAAATAGTAAATTTTCCCTTACCTTTCAGAGTGCATGTGTTGTGTATGTATATGAATGATATAATTTCTATCATGAAATTCTTAAATAATAGACCTTTTAACAGGATACCAGTCTAGTTCATCTGAAAACAGTTGGTTTGGGGCAGGAATTATTGTGTGAAGATTTTTGGCCTTGTTTTATGTTGAAAGGTGGTGTGCCATGACACTGTGAGCAAAAATATGTAAGATCATTGCAGGTGATAGGAAATGGAGAAAAACTAAGTTTAACACTTCAAGGAAGCCTAGAAAAATGTCACTACAGGCAAAATCAACAAATGTAAGTACAATTACTTCAATTTAGATTTACAGAAGCCTATCATCTGTGACCACAGTGCAAGCTGATTTGAAGCCTTATCTATTTGGTGTGACATCGGCACAAGTTTGGATAATGCTGGTGTATAAAGCAAGCATATTGGCCTTCAAAAAAAAAAATTGAATGCTAACTTTAAACTGGACAGGTAAAAGTGTCTTTAAAAAGCAAAGTGAGAAAGGCATAAGATATTTTTCACTCAGTGTCATGTTGGTCAGTGCTTTTCATTGTCTTCTAAAGATTGTATGTATTATAAATGATGATGGCTGTTTAACGTATTGTTTTATTAATTAGGACTTTCCCTGGGCCCCAGCAAAAAAGGCCGTTAATCTCGATTAAGCTTCTTCCTTTACTTTCAGGAAGGCTGCCTGCGGGGTAAGGCTGACATTTGTGCTTGTAGACATAGGGCCAGGCTGACCACTAGATTGTATGTGATGAACTCTTTATTTCCATTACTTTGAGTTTTTTATGGTTCCTTGTTGCATTGTCTGGCTATGAGCATCCTTTGAAGAAAAGGCCCTTACTGATGGTCTTTCTCAGCTAATTCACTCTTCTACCACATGTGCAGCACTGGCAATCACTAAACACACTAGCATGGCTCTTGATTATCTCAAGGAGCACGGCTTCACTGGGCAATGGGGTGAGATTTCCACGTGCTGGGTTTGACAGTACCGAACCAAAGAACCATAGGTGTTTTGATTACAGCAGAGTTTCCTATTTGTGGAAAAAATTACTTGCTAATTCATTATAACTCTGGCTTTTAATTTTTTTTTTTTTTTTAATTTGCCAGTAAGTATGTTGCTGCAATAATTTGGTGCATTCACCTATCTCGGTCACAATTTTTTAAAGTATATTACTTGTTCCTGATTATGTTGTTTCAAGGCTATTATATTTTTTTATACTGTTTTGCATCATCATGGCTCTTCAATTATTCTACATATTTTTCAAGAACAGGTGGTTTTTTTTCCCACTACAAAAGAACCTGGCTTAGTTTTCCTGCTGTAAATACCCCATATCAGTGAGTAGTTTTTATTGGTTTTACTCAATCCTAGTGAAATATAATTGTTCTGTAGGTATAAATTAATTACCAGCTCTATCTTACAGTATAATGCAATGCATATTCTCTTGTCTTCCCAAGGATATGAGATCTGTCTTTCTGAAAAATATGATGGGATATCACAGATTGCTAATTTGTGACCTGGCTCGCTAGCAGTGAGAACTGTAATTGCCATCAGACAACTTCCTCTGCTTTCTTGAGTACATATAGACCTATTATAGCAATAGAGCTAGCATTGCAGTTGAAAGAAAACCCGAAAGAAATTCTTCCTTTCGAATACATCAGCATTACTTTAAAAGGAGTTACTAAGCCAGTAATTGCTACAATTTGCCTTCCCCAAAAGGCTAATTTTAGGTTGTGGGTTTTTTTTCTCCCAGAAATTCTGTGACTATAATGTAAATAATTATGCTTAGCTATTGTTGAGCGACTTCAGAACTCATGTTGGTTTTCTATATATAATGCTGCTATAATTGTACAATTACAGTGTACTGGAAGCAGTCCAGAGGTGGAATGGATGTTCTATGGGAAATTTGAAGACTCTTTCATTTACTCTGTAGCTCAGTTCAGAGCTGTTTCCATTAAGCTGGCAAAGTAGTCAAAAGAAGGAACTGAAATCCTTGGATTACACCACCGATACTTGTTTGGATACTCAGAAAAATGTACATGACTTGAATATGCAACAGGAATGCCTCTTCCCCTCTCATCTTTTAGCAAAAACAGTTTAAAGAGCTTCAACAAACAAATGGCCCTTACTTGGGACTATGTCCTTAGTTTGGGATTTATGTAGTGAACTACTAATTCACCAGTCTATCTAGCTAGATAATTTCTAAATGAGCATAATTTATATATAGGTGTACATCTCTAGGCTTGCACAACAAATTATTCTTCACTT